CCCTAACAGAGAAACTTCAATTCATCTTGTTCCTTTCAAATGTGAAACTAATTCCAAGTATTATTTGCTCTACAAGGTCTAACTTGGGCTCCAGTATTAAGAAGAAATAAAATTCTAAGTTATGGATTTCAATTTCTTAGTTACTTAAAAAGTAACATAATAGATGTACAAAGTTATACCCACAGCAATTACATAAAATGTTTAGTGTATCACAATGGAAAAATCCACTTTTTGAACTAATTGTATATATCATTTATACACCACTTTCCTCTGAGGAAGACCAAATACTTTACAGACATAATTTTAGCCCTCAAAACATTATTGTGAAGAGATGTAGAAATAATTTTTATTCTTTTTCCTTAAATGATAGGAAAAATAGGAAAAATACGCAAATCTGACTTTCAAGTAAAAAAACAACAAATAATTTACATCTCACAAATCAATGCATAATATTCAGAAAATTCATGAGATTCAGCATAATTTATAAGACACAGAAAAACAACCAAAATTAAGTGGGCAGGAGGAACAGGGAGAGCATTCTTTGCAATTCATGAACTACCTTGAGTACAAAAAATAAAGATCAAAGTGTATGACATCAGAAGTGGATTTTTAAATCCACTCCTTTAATACACTATATTTAGAAATGTAATTAATGTTGTACTTCTTTTATACTAGGAAGGGAAATACAGGCTTTCCATGGAGGGTGGTTATGCTTGATGCCATATCCAGTGTTAGTTTTGAAAAACACTAGCTTTCTGGGGCCAAGGTTTTGGCCAGGGGGTTAAGCTACTACCTGTCACGCTGGCTTCTAATATGTGTACCTATTCAAGAGCCAGTTGCTACACTTATGATCCAGCTCCCTGCTAATGTATCTGGAAAAGTAGCAGAAGATGGCTGACTATATGAGACCCTGCTAGCCAAATGGGTGACATGGGTGGAATATCAGGCTTCTGGCTTCAGCCTGGTCCGTCCTGGCCCAACTGGGCCAAACATAGCTATTTGTGGAAACAGAATGTAATTGGAAAAGCTTTGTCTCTTCCTCTCTCTAGTAACTCCACCTGTCAAGCAAATATATAAATCACACAAGAAAAAAGAAAAACATTTGTTCTTGTATGAAACTTCCATTTGAATCTAGCTAACATAATGGATGTGGAAATATTTCTTTCCATTAAAAAAAATGAAACACAAGCCAAGTTAAATCTAAATCTGCTATTCAGTTGAATAGCAAAGGTATAGAATACACATTCCACATGTGCATTAAGGCATTTTTCTCAAACTGACATGGTATAGGAAATACAATCAAAACACTACCTTCCTCTTATCCTGATGTTTTCTTTTAATAAAAATTTAAAATATATTACCTAGGAGTAGGAAGTATTTGACTTGGAATAAATTTGGGATAATATTTTGGATCTTCTAAGTTATACAATCCTAGGAATGGGAATGCTTTTGTCATACCTCTAATTTATGTAACAAAACTTAATGCAACCTGAGAATGACCTACCATCATCACCACATTCTTTCTCACTTCCTCTTCCCATCCTATTCTGGGTCCCCAACCAGCTCCAGCAGATTGCTAACACAATACATAAAGTCATTTTTCTGCCTTGACTCCTAAGAACATCTAGTAACATAATTTTCCTGCTCCTCAGATTCTGTTTTCACAGGAGACTCAATTATGACAATGTTCAAGGTCTAAATTTTTAAAAATTTCTAAAACTTTCAGTAGAAAAGTTCCACTCACTCCTGGTGAAATAGAATCATGATCTCATAAAATGTGCTTGACTCAGTCATTCCCCCCATCTGGTTTTTAGCCTTACAGCACACTATGACAAGCAAATTGCAGATGGCAAAGAATAAGGTGAGAAAACCCAGCAAAACCTCCAAGGAGTTCACCTGCCAAGTGCAGCAGTGCATGTGGCTAAGCAACAAGACATTCCTAATAATTCTTCTAGGGAGATAGCAGGATGACCAATGCTCCACATTCTTGTGCAGGCAGGAAAAAAAAAAAAAACCCTTTGTATTTAAAGAAAGATGGATTGTCTGAGAGAATCTCAGTCCCCTTGGAGGAAACTGAACCATAGGCTGGCCAAACTGCCTCCATTTCGTCTCATGTTGGGGGCACTGACCATTTCCTGCCCTGTGATTGGCCCTTTGCCCTGATTGGTGTGCCTTGGTTCTCTTTAAGTTGATTGGTCAAGTTTGACAGTTAAGCGGGGGGCTTGGCGGGGGAGGGGCTGGAGCGTAACGGATATAACGGTCATAACGGACAACGGACAAGGGTCACGACGGGACGGAAGAGGAGAATAAAAGCGCCTTGGAGACTCTCTCAAGTGTCGGGTGATTTCTTCCGCGGGACGGGAGGACCCCCGATAGTCTCAGTTTTGCTCCATGTGCCAGCTCCAGGCTTCATTCCACAGAGCAGAGATAAACCACCTCACATCTATTGTGTCTGTACGTGTTCCCATCTCAGCTACATGTCATATAATTTTGAGGACTGATGCAAAACAATAGCAACACTGCTCACTGGGATCTGTCCTTTCCTGGGACCCAGGCTATCGCTGCTTACTCAGTTGGAAGTGTATCCTCAGAGCATCATGAGATGCACAAGCTGTTATTCTCATTGTTATACGAATAAAAATGACATCATCCCAGGCCTCCACAGAAATCAGTGGAAGAGCAGGGATTTGGACTCCAGCCTGTGAGGTGTGTAGATAGCCATGCATTTAGCACTGGCTTCTTCCAAAACCATCTAACTTAATTATCATTTATTCCTGACATCACTCTGTATGCACAGAATGTGAACATCTCTCACATGAAGCCAAAGTACAGAGAGAGGAGAACATCTGTAATAGGCAAGGTGTCACCTCTTCCTACAATGACTAGGTGTGAAGTAAAGGGGTCCTTACTTGCAGGTATAGAAAAATTAAACATGCTCTCACATCCCTCTGTTCTGGAACTGTGATGTTATGTTCACCTACACTAAACTCTCATCCCTGTCATAAGCAGGGTTTGCTATTTTTATACTATTTTTATAGTTTCTTATAATGGCGTAAGTTTAAATATCACTTCTTGATAGCTATTGATTTCTCTTTAGTTAGCAGCTCACCTTGACATTCATCTAGAATGTCTACAAGAATAGATTTTATTTCCGCTTGTATGCAAAACAAAAGGAGGAAAGTAGGAGTGGCACCCTTCACTGTCCAAAATGCTGAACCCAATCATGACTCTAGATAGCAGGTATTTTATGCCTTTGTCTGTGCCTGTCAGAGAACCCACACTGTTGCAGTCTGAATTGGGTAGATGCACTTTCTAGCCAAGAGGCAATGAAATGGACAGATTTCTTAAGTGTGGTCCGAGGTGCTACCATTCCTCTCCTCACTAGTTCACATTATGCTTCAGCATCAGCAGCATTTCCTTCGAAGGCAGAGAAAGACCATCAGGAAGAGTGGTGACTTAATCTCCTTTCAATGGTAGAAATTTAGAATATGACAATTAAAAGAAGACAATTTGGAATGGCTACTACTTTAAATAATACTAGAGCAAAGTGAATACACAATTAAATATAATCTTTTAATCAAGATCAACTAAAGTAAGTTGACCTTTTCATTTCTATAATAGAGGCTTCAAGCATTACTTCGGGTCACTCAAAATCATTCCTCAGATAAACTATCTTACCTTGTTGATCAAGGTCAGTATCAACAGTGATAAGTTGTACTGATAGTATGTACTGATAGTACATAATCCATTACCCTTATCTAATTATCAGATTAAACACCAAACAAGCCCCAACTGAGAGACCTTCTACAGGATGTCTGACCAGCTCTCGTGAAAACTGTCAAGGTCATTTGAAACTATTATTATATGGCAAGAGTGATATGATATATGGATTTGGTCTTTGTCCCTGTTTCCTGGCACAAAACTATCAAAATCCTTAGACTCTCCTAAGTGATAGTGTCTTTCTGTATGTTAATCAGTAGAGTGACAGCTTGTAACCTCTAGTAGCTGGTCAGGATAGGGACTGATCACCAAAAGGACCAAGACATTAGAGGGTTGCGACATTAAGCCTCACTCGCCAGCTCCTGTGAACAGGAGAGATAGGCCAGAGATCTAACAATTTACGTCAATGTGATTAACACTCCACTAAAATCCAAAATTCCAGGATTCACAGAGATTGTGAACACTGAAACATATGGAGGGCTGTGGAAGATGGGGAGCTCACAGAGAGCATGGAAGCCATGTGCCTCTTCTCCTGTACATTTGCCTTACACATCTCAGCGCGTTTCCCTGAACTGTATGAGCCACTCAAGCAAATTAACCAAACCCAAGAATGGGTTCTGGAAACTTCTTTTTTTTTTTTTTTTTTTTTTTTTTTCCTTTCAAACCAAGTTCTTTATTGTCCAACCAGTCAACATGTGTTCAGCGGGCCTCATCCCGTGTCAGGCACCCTGGGGCCAAGCATGTCAGGGACATCTGACGGCTCTCAGAACAATGCACGTTCAGTCCGCTCCAGACGCAGCTGTGGCACCATGATGAACACTCTGCTGAACACGCTAAACAACGGGATGCTAACGTCTACCATGGTCTTCTGCCAACACCAACTTCATGGTTCCCAGTCAACAGGACGCACTTCGGTGAACATTCACCTTACATTCTCTCCCCTATCATTTGCACTGAGATGTTTTGAAAAAGGACTTTTAAAAGGTTAAATAGTGGGCCCGGCGCGGTGGCGCAAGTGGTTAAGTCCTCGCCTTGCACGCCCGGGATCCCATATGGGCGCCGGTTCTAATCCCGGCAGCCCCGCTTCCCTTCCAGCTCCCTGCCTGTGGCCTGGGAAGGCAGTTGAGGACGGCCCAAAGCTTTGGGACCCTGCACCCGCGTGGGAGACCCGGAAGAGCTCCTGGCTTCGAGCTTTGGGACCCTGCACCCGCGTGGGAGACCCGGAAGAGGCTCCTGGCTTCGGATCGGCATAGTATCGACCCGTTGCGGCTCACTTGGGGGCAAAACCAGGAGGTGCGGGGGATTTTAGCTCCAAAACAGATCCTCCCACAAGCTCTCGGAACTCCTGGGTATGGTTCTGGAAAGAAAAATGAGTGAACAGCGCAGGCTGGACTCGGAGAAGTGTACCCAGGGACGCCCCTGCCCTAGGAGCGAGTCACAGAGCAGGAGGAACAGGGGTCTCAGCAGCCTGAACCCTAAGATGGGCACAGTGGGATGGATATGGAAGCTGCACTTCTCCTCCTGCATCCTCCCACCCGCCCCGCAGGGGACCAGGGGACTCCAAGCAGAGCCTCAGTCTCACACTGAGAGAACCGCTCCAAATGGTCTCCACCTGGCAAGTGAGGGAAGATGGGACAATTTTCTAGTGTTACATATAGTCAATGCTGTCTATAAATCGAGCTTGCTAAACCAGAACGTCTGGGCTGAAATGCAACTGAAGGAACAAATTCCCAACAGACCCTCTCACACCTCCCCCTGGGGGCTTTCTGCCCTCAAGCGCTCTACAGGGAGCCACCAGGACTGCCACTACAGCAAAAGAAGAGCCACTCCTGCCTGCCTTTTCCCAAAGGATGCCAAAGTTCAACAGGATTCAGGCACACAGAGATGCCAGGCCCAGGGCTGCGGGGACGAACCCAAACCATGCCCCAGCTCTCTTCCCAGTCCTGGCTGTCGTGCCTCAGGGAGCCCCCTGGACTGCAGCTATGGAAATGGAAGAGACCATTTAAAACAGCATGGTTTGCGGGAAATGGAATACTGGTTTCCTAAAGTGTGTTGTAAGGCACAGTGTGAGAAAGCTGCCCCCACTCCCAGCCACACGGCCCCCCGGGCTCCGCACATGCACACACGCACACAGAAGAGGCCCGCTGGTTTGCCACAGTGCACAGGGAAGAGCTGCTTCCAATCACTTCTGGTTTTTGAGCTGGTTGGAGAGCCAGTCGAGGCCTTCAAAGAGCCCATCACCGCTGGTGGCACAAGTGGCTTGGATGTACCAGTTCCTCTGGCGGAGGGAATGTAAGCCCAGCTTGTCCGTGACCTCTGCTGCATTCATAGCATTGGGAAGGTCCTGCTTATTTACAAATACCAAGAGAACAGCGTCTCTGAGCTCGTCTTCCGCCAGCATCCTGGTCAGTTCCTCCCGGGCCTCATTGACTCTCTCTCTGTCGTTGCTGTCAACCACAAAAATCAGACCTTGGGTATTCTGAAAGTAATGTCGCCACAGAGGTCTGATTTTATCCTGGCCACCGACATCCCAGACGGTGAAGCTGATATTTTTATATTCTACTGTCTCCACATTGAAACCTATGGTAGGGATGGTCGTCACGATTTCTCCAAGCTTCAGTTTATACAGGATGGTGGTCTTCCCAGCTGCATCCAAGCCCACCATGAGAATCCGCATCTCCTTCTTCCCAAATAGACTTTTAAACAGCTTTTCAAAAACATTCCCCATTGTAACCGAAGTCGGCCGCCGCTCTGAACACCACGGTTAACACCGTTAGAAACGGCTGCCTTTAGAATTTCGGCATCCCTCAGCAAAATGGCGTCACACGTGGGGGGGTTCTGGAAACTTCAACTTGGGTTATAACAGAAAAATGGGTAAAATAACTTGGGGCTTACAACCGGCACTTGAGGGATACAATCTTGGGAACTGAGTCCCAAGACAGGTCAATAATGAGAAAACTGAATCAGAGGTTATGCAGTGGGTGTCCCTTCAAAAATGATTCCATGCTTGGTATATGAAAGAAATCACCCCTCAGGTGTCAGGGGGATCTGTGTTGTGCCAGCGCAATCGGAGAAGCTGGGTGCGAGCCTGTTTTTCCTATAAGACAGACGCTTTTTCTAGTATCCATCCTCGTTCCCATTTTTGTTAAGTGTTCTTAGCCCTGTTTTCTTTCGTCATTACGCTGATTTTTTCAGGCCTAGGAAACATCTAAGAAATTTTCACAGCCAAGAGGAGCCCTAGAGAAAAGACAGGTAAATGGTAATGTGGCATCCTTGATTAGAAACTCAAACAGGAAAAAGCAGGAAATCAGAGTAAATTATGTATGTCAGTAATAATATATCAGCATTGCTTCATGAAATGTGAAAATACAGGATATTAAGACCAAAGTAAAGACATGACACAGGAGAAATGGATACAGAATATATAAAAATCTGTCCTATCTTCCCAATTGTTCGGTACATCTACAACTTCTAAAATGAGGCCAGGGCCCATATTATACCAGAGCTCTAAGCATGTCATTATTAATTCTGTATTTAAAAACTGCAATACAGGAGTGCTATGAAAACATTTTTTCAAAATGATTTGTCACAATTTGCCACCTCTGCTCCTGAAGATAAGCACAAAGTCAGTCAATTGCTTTAAGGGCAAGGATTAGCTGGATATATTAACAACCACCTCCCCACAATGCACAAAGTTGTGGAGTTTTTAAAAGTAGTTTCATTCATTTCACTGCTCTTTGTGAATGAAAACCAGCCTAGAGACAGCAGTAGGCCACTTTCAAACTTCCATTCAGTCTCTGGCCATCTTCCTTTTGATGCCTTGCTGTCTGTAAAATGGAAATAACCAATCTGCTTTATAAACATGTGCATGGTTCAGTAAGACTGTGAGATAAAATATTTGATAGCTATTTCTTTTTCCCTTTTATTTTCTTTTCTTTTCCCTTTCCTTTTTTTTTTCTCACTTCTTGAGAACTACCAGAGAGAAATCAACTTCAATCAAGGTCAAATCTACTTAGAAATCTGTGCTAGTGAATTAATTACTGCAATAAGCATATATGTTTGAGTGTGTTCTTACCCTCGCAGTAAGATGAGTCATTTTTTACTATCTTCTTCTGGCACTCTGGCTCAAATAAAAGAGCAACTTGGTCTATTCCTTCAGGAACTAGACACTAAGTATAAATAACTCCAATTCAGAACAGTGGCACAGGGTCCCAGTAGCCGACATGACAGATCCACAGAGATGGTGCAGCTGTGCTTGCCATGCCCCCTTTCCTGGCATGTTCTGCATTATTTCTGAAAGTGCATGTATGAATGTTTAATAGCATACAGTACCCTTTACTGAATCACTGAAGTGCGGTTCTGAGAAAAGAGTTCACAGGAGTGGGAGGATGGTGCTGCAGCATCTCGGTGGAGCTTGTACAAAACCTTCAGAGCTGCACATTTCTCTCACATCACCTAACCCAGATTTCTAATGATAATCACAACAATACATCCTAATACCCTAATTATGCTGCTTCTATTTATCCTGACATTCAGACACAAGGATAAAAGAAGAGGTATTATACGTAAACCAATTATGGGGAACAGAGGAATTTAACAAGATAGCAACGAATGCCATGTGATCATCCAATTATAAGCTTTCCTTAATTACTATGAGTTAAACATGAGGTACGACAGATTTCAAATCAGTTCTAATTCCCAGATATTAATTTTTTAAAGCACAATACAGGGAAGATGAAGCTTTCTTTCATTAGAAGGGTTTTCAGTGACCCCTGAGAGCTTGTCATAACCAAGGAGAGAGGACTACTGTAAAGTCAAATGTCAATGAACTTGGTGCAAAGGCACGTGGTCAGAGTGCCACAGGGCCAGTGCCTGTCCCTTAGCTGTGTAGGCCATGGCAGACCAAGGAAAGGGGCTGCAGGTTCACAAGAAGCCACCCGTGCTCCAAGCTCACTCAGGAATGCCAGAACACCAACAGATGTACAGTGAGAAACTTGGGGTCTCCGCCATACACGGATAGAAGGGAGCAGTACATTTGAAACTGAGATAAAACATAAAAATGAAATTTAATCTCACATATTGTCTTCATCGAAAAGACAAAAGATTGCAAGTGCTGATTGAGGCTTGAAGGACTTGAACCACTCTCTCAATTCTGGTGAGGATATAAACCACAGAGCCCTTGTGAGAAACAGTTAACGGGCGCTTCTCAGGAAATTAAAAAAAAAGCAACACTGGGCCCAGTGTGATGGCTCATAGCTAAATCCTCGTCTTGCAAGAGCCAAGATCCCCTATGGCACTGGTTCATATCCCACCTGTTCCACTTCCCATTCAGTTCCCTGCTTGTGGCCTAGGAAAGCAGTAGAAGATGGCCCAAAGCCTTAGGACTCTGCACCCACACAGGAGACCCAGAAGAATCCCCTGGTTCCTGACTTTTGATCAGCTCAGTTCTCACCATTGTCCCCACTGGGGGAGTGAACCAGTGGACACAAGATCTTACTCACTCTCTCTCCTTCTCTCTGTAAATTTGCTTTTCCAATAAAAATAAAATAAATCTTTTAAAAAAGAGAGATAGAGAATGACCAAACAATCTAGCAGTTTCACTTCTGGGAATTCATCCAGAGGAAATGCAAGCAGTTTTTCCAGGAGATGTTGACACTCCCTCTGTCCATCGAAGTGTTACTTACAATAGTCAAGATATGGAAGCAGTCTTTCACTAACAGATGAATGGATAAAAAAAACATAATGTGTCTGTGAAAGGACTTCAAAGCATTTCTGGAAAAGTAGAATTAAAAAAACCCAGGGATGGCTCTTTTATAAAATGCCATTTTAACAAGCATTTTGAAAATCCCTCATAGGCAGGATTCCAAATGTTTCACCTGAAAATTGTCTTTCAATTTCAAGTTCCACCACATTTTTTTAAAATCCCCAGATATGTATGTACACAGAGAGGGAGAAAATAATCAAGGCTTAAATCCAGATATCCCAACATCCCCATCAGCATGAACTCACACAATGCTACACTACATACAATAAGTTAGACACAGACAAAAAAATATCTGCTTTCAAGAAGAATATGGGAAGAAAAATTCATAGAAGTAAATGGTAATTACATTACCCCCAGACTAGGGATAAACAGAAAGTGAGGAGAGATTACCAAAATAACACAAGATTCAGTTAGATAAAATGAATGTATCCTGGATTCTTATTACATAACGACAAGTACAGTGGATAATAACATACTATATACCTTAAAATTGCTAAATAGTAGACGTTAAATGTTCTCACCAGAAAAATAAAAAACCAGTATGTGAGATGGAACATTCTACAATACAATAATTATAGTATACCTCCAAATATATACATGTAAATAATAGTAACCCATGCCTACAGTAATTGGCATTACTACCATTAGTACCTATTTACTAAGCAATGTCTCTATGCCAGACCCAGCTCTAAGCACATGCACTATGTCACACTCACTGGCCTTTTGATCAGTCTGCGTTATACATTAGGGAAACTGGGGTATGGAGAGGACTAGCATCTTGCCCAGGGACAAGCATTAACATGCAAGCATCAGGAAAAAATGTCAGGTTGTATGGGGGGCTTCAGTCTTCCCCATCAGATTGCCCCATCTTTCCCCACACAGATCCAGTGAGACAGCAAAAACTCTCCATGCTGTTTACATTTCGCACCACAGACCTTCTCCCTCCACTGCCCAAAACCTGACCATCAGGCACTCGCTTCCATTTATAAATCCAAATGGTAGATAAACACACAGGTAGAAATGCTGCCTTTTGAATAAATGTTGGCCTCTCCTCCCTGCTTTCAGTACAAGCAGATAAGAGAAGCTACTTGCCTGCACTTGAAACTTACATGAATCGGTGAGGCAGGATCAGGCTGAACACTCTAAAAGACAAATCAGAAGTGTCTGTGTCATCATCTCAGAGTCAATGATACATTAGTGAGTGCACATAATATTTAGAACAACGAGACATGATCTTGCCTTTAACAGGGAGTACTGGCAGCTGGCCATGACGAGACAGAAGAGAAGCACCCACATATCTTTGCAAAAGCCTTGATTCAAGGTCAGAAACCCAAGAAGAGAGACCAGGACAATGAGTAAAACTGCCAGCACGTTCTCCTTGACATCTTCAGTTCTGTACAGGATACATTAGTAAGAACAAAGGATGTTTTCCACTTCTAAACAGAGAATGCCTCCATTATGAAAAGACTTGCAGCAACAGCATCACAATGAATCTATACAAACCTTTGTAGTTGGTTATGGGATTTTTAAGGCCATCTTTCTTTCCTTAATCTCTTGCTACATAAACAAAATCTACATTTTAATCCAAGATTTATATCACTGAAACAAATAAAATATAATTCTATTGAATCTCTTTGACCATTAAGCTGGGTTTACTGGGAAGAAATAGTTAATAATTCTTTCTAAACTATGCAATGCATTTCTGATTCAGAGCCTCCTTGGAACTGTCAGTAGAAGGGGATGTGGTTTAATTCATACCTGGCTAAAGTGGACCGTCTTTCAGATATGCTCTGTGGAATCAGCTTCGCTGCTCAGTTTCAAAAGCAGAGAGAACTGAGAGGAACTTGTAGCCCTCAACATGTCAGGAGTCCTGGCTGGAACGGTCATGAGACTTCCTCTTGTGTTGGGCACAGATGGGTTGATCCGGGGGGGGTACACAAAGGGACAGGTGAGGTTCAGGATGTTGACAGGAAGGGGCTGAAAGGCTTGAATGAGGAACCTCGGTAGGATGAAAACAACTGAGGACCAAGCAGCATG